TCGGAACTTCGGGACTTCTTTTGCAGCTGCTTAGTAGATAACTCCCTAATTCCCACGGTATTAGGGAGTTATCTACCAAAAGGCTGAAAGGCCTGAATTGGTCTTTCAGCCAAATTTACTAATACTAAGTAAAGATTACTTAGTATTAGTAAATTTTGTCCCTACTCACTATACCGTGAGTAGGGGCATGTCTAGTAAACAGTGAGCAGCCTGTGGCTGCTCACTGTTAAAAAAAAAATAGGACCTAATGTCCTCCCTCCTGGCCCCCACCCCTGAGCGACGGGTGGTGGCCCTAAATACTAATAAGGGGGGGGACCTAATGTCCTCCCCCCTGGCCCCCACCGCTGAGCGGCAGGTGGGGGTCCTAAATTATAATAAGGGAGGGGACCTAATGTCCTCCCGTCTGGCCCACACCCCTGAGCGGCGGGTGGGGGCCCTAAATTATAATAAGGGGGGACCTAATGTCCTCCCCCCTGGCCCACACCCCTGAGCGGTGGGTGGGGGCCCTAAATTATAATAAGGGGGGGACCTAATGTCCTCCGCCCTGGCCCCCACCCCTGAGGGGGGACCTTTTTTTTATTTTTTAACAGTGAGCAGCCACAGGATACAAGGGCTTTTTTTTCCACATCCAATTGAAGAAGCTTTTATGGTGAAACACATCCTGTGAACCTTGTGAGGAATAGTCTTTATTGTATTGGACTTTTTATGCCTAGTTAGTGTTATTTTATTGAAATATTTTGATGTTAAAATAAAGTTTATATATTTTTATTACTACCACTGGCATTGTTCCTGCTATTCTTGAAAGAAGGATTGTGGTCCTTAACCACATACACCCTCTGATCAGAGCCGATGTGGATGGCTCTGGGCTTGTAAGTACGAATTTTACTTCTTCCACTACTATTTTAGACCTACGGTACTGCACCATATCAAGAAATCAATCAAGAAAGGAAAGAACACTCACCAAAGAAGGGATAGGGTCGCCTTTACGGACCCCTCAAGCCATTTTATTGAGCTATACATACCTAGCTCTTAAAAGTGTGAGTGGGAATTTTTCACTCTATATCTATACATATTAAATTTATATCACAGTACACACTATGTTTGGTTTTGTTTGCTTATGTTTCTAAGGTATTGCATACTACCAATGGATATTTGGTATAAACATTAAGGTATTGTTATATAGAAGTTTGTACACAAGTACGTTTTGCACGGGGTAATTTTATAAATATACAGCGCTTCACCTCTATTTCACGATTTGGTGATTTTAAAGATAAGAATTTGGTGTTATAGCAGCTGATCTACTTCATCTTATTTGCACTTATATATTAGCGCTAGTACCTTCCTTCTGTTTTGCAAAACCGAAATGTGTTAATTAAGGTGTTAGTGTTTGGATTAGGTTTAGGATTAGTGTTTAATTAAGGGTTAGGGTTAGTATAAAGGTAGTGTAGCGGTTAAGATGAGTTAGTTACTATTATTTACTATTAGGGCAGCACTGGACATATACACAAACCGGTCCTGTTACTTCCGGGTTGTTTAGCTCAGTGAAGATAAACTTAAGAGCCAGCAACTGCTTAGAACACCTGCCTTGCAAAGACTTTTTACTGAGCTGCATTGGGGAGTCTGTGATTGGACAGCCATAGAAAGTCTAGGCAGGGTTAGAAGGGGAGGGCTTACAGTGGCTTCAGGTGAGATCTGCAACTTTTGGAAACTGTTTTTAGGTGTACCTCCAATGAAAAAATGCACAATTAAATGCATGCATGTTTTAATTGAAATATATTTACTAAACAGTGATTTTTAAATGTCACTTATTTGGGCAGTGGAGTGTTCCTTTAAAGGGTCTGACATATTCCTCTACCTGTAGCAATCAGTACCTCTTTATCATGCAACTGGGTTGCTCCCTGTTAATTATTTTATAAGCTGTTTCCTTTGCACCTGGCAGTCAGCATCGATAAATTCAACAGTGTTATTTCCAAGAGACAATTGCCCTTTAAGAATCTTTATCTGATGTTTCACATTGGTTCGATGTCCATGTGACATCGCTGTACAAATAAAATATGAACTTGTTATTACATCACTAACGTTATGGGGTCTGTGACTCCACCAAACTAACCTTCATAATTAAATTGTAAATGTTCTGCAGGTTACGTGCAAAAGTTTGATTCCCATTATATATTGAATGCATTATATTTAACACAATGAAGGAATTTGTGAGCTTTTTATACGTTCCTTCATGTTGCCATGGCATTTTATATTTTAAGCATATCTTAACCTTGCAAAGTGTAAATCAGATCTCATTCATTGTTCTATTTATGGAGCATTAATGTTTTCATTGAAATATGAATTCAAGTTGCAGCCACAAAAAAATTAGAAGGAAAGAAACATCTCAAATCTTATATGGAACATTAATCTTGGCAAGATTGTTGAGTTCAGAATCCATACAGGATTGGAGACTGGGTGAAAGTCTAACAGAGAGGGGAAGGGCGTTTCATAGGAATGGCGCAATCCTAGAGAAGTCTCTAAAGGCGAGCTTTAGAGGTAGGAGTACGTACAGAGGTTAGACGTAGGTCTCCGGCAGTGCGTAATGCACACATGTATATTTTATGTTAAGCACCCCACCCAATGGGTTGAGCACCCTTGTGCAACCCTAGAGAAGTCTTTAAAGGCGAGCATCAGAGGAAGGAGTACGTACAGAGGTTAGACGTAGGTGTCCGGCAGTGCGTAATGCACACGTGTATCTTTTATGTTGAGCCTCTGCCCAATGGGTTGAACATCCCGCCCAGCTCCCCCCAGCTTCAGAGGCCCCTTTGGAGATGACCGCAGGAAGGTATGTATTTAAGGGATTTTGGATAGTAATGTCACTTTTATTCCCACCAGACCTAGTGAGTTTATCAGTAGACAGTTATTAAACCTGAGTCTCGGCTCAACAGTGAGTGATATGGGATAGAATTCTCAGGGTACTCAAATAAATAGGTAACCAATCATATTATGTTAAATTTATTTTTTTTTATTCTAAATTAACTCCCTCCCCTCCAACAGTATGTAAACTCGTGCTAATTTTCATTTTGCATAGCAATTCAGTGCACAATAAAATTTTATACATGAAAACCCTTATACTTTTCCCTTTGCTCCAGTACTGATTTTCACCCTGGAGAGAAGCAATTTGTTTCTGCCAGAACTCCAATTCTTGACATGGTATTGTAAATGATGACCTTCCTTTCCATCTCTTCTACTCTACAGCTACCTTTTTACTGGTGATCTCATGGCTATATTCAAGCAACCTGGTGGGAAGGAACAAGAGAGGAATCTAAGCTAACTCAGCCCACTACAGGGTTTCTATGCAGGCTGTAATAGCAGCATGCAAAATCTGTAGAAGAGCTACATAGTGTGTGTACGATATGGGGGAATTATGACTACATACACACAGATATTATTTATAAATTTTGTTATACTTTTCATTTGTATGCTGCATCCCCCAAAATGTGTCAAGCTTATCAAACTTATCAAAAAGCAAGGTAATTGACCAACTTTATTGCATAAATCTATTTGTTACCTAGTGTATGTGGCAAAAATGCCATTTTTTTTCTTTGCTTATATTCAAAAATTCATCATACATATTGTGAGTTTATTGATACAATACAAAACATTTAATTTCTTCTCAAGCATTTACGTAAACCTTGTACATACAAAATAAATTGTATATGCCTGAACAATAGTCTGCAGGCAAAATTGTTATTTTATCCAACATTTATATATAATGGCTGCCCTTTAAGCTTTAAATAATGTTATGCTATTTTCTGTTCAGGGGAAAGGCGTGGAAGTAAAAGTGTTAATAATATGTAAAAATACATTTACATGTGCCATCACAAGTTTACAACAAAATGCAAATATTTGTATGTAAAGTGTATTTTTTATGAAAATATTTGCGTTATGTAATTGCTTTGCAGATAATACATTGACACGTAATCTTAACAAATGCAGATTTTTTATAATAATTTGTGGGAATTTGTGGGAATTTTATTGTACATATTTTTGGTAGGGTCCAAACACATCACTTTCAGATAAAAAAAAAATTAAATGCTGCTTTAATCTACAAAAAAAAAAGACACTATGCTACAGGATGAATAGTGCTTTATTCCTGTTTTAATGTATTATTCATTATCACTAAGGAATAATAAAATGTTACTTTAAATAACAAAGCAGTCTGTACTCCTTCCATCGCCTGCTTAAAAGATAAAAGTAAATTTTTGCTCTTAACTACACAATTTCAACAGCACAGACCCAACTATCTACAAGAGATATTCCGTCTGATCTATTGTAATTTACAGAACAGTTTATGAAATGATTTTCTGAAAATTTGCATGATCACTACATTGAGAATTTTTAACAAGATCTTTTTGTTAATTTGATAATGAATTTTTGCTGCCTCTGTGTGTAGAAAGATAGATGGACACTTTGGCCATTATTCGATATATTTTCTTGTTAATGCAGGCAAACATTAGGCAGCAACTATAAGCATACAGACATGGTGAAGAAGTTTATTTGTTGTCCAAAACAAATATCAGAATGGGGATGAAATGTGATCAACGTTATTTTGATCATGAGTTGATTGTTGGTTTTAGACATGATGGTTTGAGTATCTCCGGTGATTATATCCACATCAGTCTTTATAGTATATAAAAAAAAGGTACAACGAGGGGCGGGGCCTGCACCGCATGAGACTTTCCTGGCCCTGGAGCCGGTTGAGACACCTTGGAATGTGCTAACAAGGTGCTCTCCGTTGATTTCTCCGGTACTTCCAGTGGGGCCTAGTGAAGCTTTCAGTCAGGAGAGACGGCAGCTCTTCAGTTCTGTGTGCCCACGCAAGGTTGCCATGGTGACCAGATCCCTCCCCCCCTCTGGACCGGTGGGGGTCATCCCGGTCCAACACTCACAGCAGCGTTGATGTTAAGCTGACTAACTGCCACCTATACTACATGGTGGACCGCTCCTCTGTGCACAAGATGGCTGACAGCCCCCCACAACAAGGGTGCATACAACAGCCGCCACACCAAGACCCATGCGACTATGCTGAAAATTTCTACAGAAATTGGAAGCTCACTTTAACACGTTTTGGGCTAATTTGGAAGCTAAGAAAGGGGCAACCCAGATGCAGCCTCCAGGCGGTTAACAGAGAAGCGAGCGTCAGAATGGCTAAAATGCCTCAAACACAAGCAGCACATACCCACTCTGCTGACCTACCTGGGCCGCAAACCACCAAACAAGCCTCCCTCACTCACCCACCTGGGAAGTCAGCTCGATGTCGTTTGGACCCAACTGGCAGTCACATATGGCCAAGACAGCTAAAACACAACTTGAGGGAGGCGACAAACAGGTCTACTGCAGAGCGGAGGGAGACAAGCCCTAGGATTGCTAAGCGGGAAGCAGGAGATGAAGAGGCATGGAAGAAGTCAGGGAGGCCGCAAAGTTTCCCGATCACCACATTAACAGCCTTCAAGCTGCTGGGCTGGCGGAGTTATGCAAGACGCACCTCGGTGAACTGTGCATGCATGGCAGGTTAATACCCAGTCAGGGAATTGGCTGACTCTCTCTTGTTCAGCTCACACATGTCAACATAGCATGTTTAATTATCTTTTCTCCCCATTGCATAACCTAATGCCTTAAATATACAACACAAAAAATACACCCCCGTTGGGGAGGTGTAGAGAGAAGGGTGGTACAACACAGTAAAATACAGAGGATACAACCTGAAAATCAGGATGAAATTATATGAGAAAATGAAAATAAAAAATCACATATAGTGAAGTATGCAAAATCTAGAGAACTAGCTCCAGGAGGTGGAAAACTTACAAAAAGGAAGAAAATCTGTGCTTGTATCCCCTCTGGGGTGTTTGTGGACGACGGAAATCCTCCTAGCTGGATGAACCCTCAGGAGGACAAAAGGAGTGCAATAGTATAATACTGTTTTGAAATATAACAATTTTATTTACAAGTTGCAAGTACATCAAACCTGAAATCAGCAGGCTTAGCTCCACTGGCAAGTGGATCAGATGGAGGATCCGTCAATGGAGGGAGATGAAGTAGTTTGCCAGAATACAATAAAAATATAAAAATAAAAATGAAAATAATTCTGAAAATAAGAAAAAAATAAAATAAAAATAATGAAGAAAAAAAAAGAAAAAAGAATACAGAGTTTATTCATAATTTCTTCAGCATCCTCGTTATCTAAAAACATGTGCATACAATATCGTACAAAATCTACAGTATAAGATATTCCAATACAATCTAGGAAATATAAGAGAAAACAGAGTTAGGATCCATTTGAGCAATCAATAAAAAAATATACATGAAAATAAAAACAATAGTAAAAGTACAAATAGCAGTGACATAGTCAGAGGATGAGGAGTGAACCAGAAATTACCGAGATGGAAAGGTGATGAACAAAATAATTAAATAATGGGTTTAAATAAGACCTACTAAATCAATGTCCTGATTTAAGCCAATTTTCAAAGTTCTTAAATTTATATATCCATTGGGCTTCCTTTCTGGCTAATTCTTTCATTTTGTTCCCTCCTCTCCAATGATTATCTATTTTGTCTATACCAATAGCGATGAAAGTAGAACAATTTAAAAAAGTACATGTATTGCAGTGTTTCGATACACTGTGATCTAATTTTTTATTTCTAATATAATTAAAGTGTTCTCGAAATCTGATGTGCAGTTTTTGGGAAGTCCTTTCCACATATTGGGCCTCACAACCACACTGGAGCAAGTAGATGACATGTAGATGAACAACATATGAACAGAAGTAACACATGCTAGTATTATCGATACTATTGGCATGATTACTTTGATACTTTCATATTATTTTGATACACAAACTGTGATCATCTTTACTCAAATCTGACTAATATACATACAGAATCTTCCTTACACTGGACCTACTTTTTACTAACAATTAAGCCAGTCATGTATACTGTGTGGTAGACCTGTCTCATCAAATATAGGAATAGCCTTACAGGGCTAAATAATTTATGTATATAGCTATTTTGCTTATAAGTTAAGTTTTTGTTACATTTGTCTCCACCACAGAGATCACACCACTACTTTAAATACTAGTGTATGTCAAGAGAACCCTCTCTCCTCACTTATGTGAGAATATTTGGGCTTATTCTTTTTTTAGACCTTTATTATTACTTATAACATCTAAAGCTTTTTTTATGTCAAAGAATAAAAAAAAAATATATTAATTACCTATTGCTCATATGTATCCAAAGTTTGTGTGTAGGGATAACAGTCATAGCTAAATAGCCCCCTCCCACCACCACCACCAACACACACACATTCACTATTGTTCTGCTTTTTTTGTGAAATTTGGTGTCAAACCACTGTTGCATCAATAAACCGTATCTTATGTTTCTTTCAGTGGTCCTTGTACACAATACTTTGTCCCCTCACTTCTCTGAGACGGTCGATATTACGAGAAAAGCTCTTTATCAAAACACCTTGGGTCTTAGTTGCTGGGATATAGGAAAAACATTAACAATTATTATGATCCTGCAATGTCATTTCATTAAACAACTACTTCTCAAGAAAAAGTTCCTTTCCCTTAGCTATAAACCACTCATTCCATTCTCACTTTACAGCAGAACGTCGTGTTCTAACATACGTCTTTACAGCAAATCCCCATCACAGGGAATCATTGATTTCCTTCATAAGACCTTTAGTAAAGCTTTAGATTATTCGTCATCTTTTAGAGATACAGAACCAGCACACACAATTGCTGGAACAATTTTCATTGTGTTTATATAATTGGTTATATTTTCTCATTTTAAACCCAGTGATTACTAAGAAATCCTGAACAAAAGACTTGAAGAATTATCTGTTGTGTTGCTTGTCACGCTCTCATTGTTGATCATACAAGGCAAATCCTGTGAGGTGGGATAACCTGTTTTCTAAAGAACAATTTACTTGCTGACACCACGGTGTTCATTTCCCCCCCCAATTTAAAGATACATATTTTATTTTGTGAAATATTTATCATGTTAAATAAAAATGAATGTCAGTGAACAGCTGAGCTTGATAAAAGTACAATGTTGAAGTTAGCATTAGGAGGTATTGCAAAAAATGACATTGCCTGTGCCAGAATTACCAGGCCACCTCAATTTCCCCACAATGCAGGGGTAGCAGTGTGTGTGTGGATAATGGATTATGGATGGAGGGGGGGGTGGTGGTGAGAAGGCTATGATTTATTTCTTGTTACCCTTGATGCGGACACGACGCCTCTTCACAGCCAATCACTTTCCTCTTTTTCTCTGCACCCTTTCCTTATAACTTGAATTTCAAATACTACACAGATAATAAGAGGACTGTGATTATTAGTAATAGGGCATGGTTAAGACATCAGTTTAGCACACACCAGTCTCTCAATGGCTTAACCACCCATGCGTACCTTCAAACCAGGAAAGATTTTATGAAAATGGAGGTGGCGGTTTCATTTTTAACAAGAGATTTCAATAACGGGAAAAAAAAACAAACTGTCTGAATATGAGACCAAAACCTATCAAATGCACTGAAGTTGTGTTTGTACCAAGGTAATTTCTTTAAACCAAAATTGCAGTGTTACACTGTTACACTAGGGATTTCAGAAGAGCCATGTACAGCAACAAACCAAATAATCTGGACATCTCTGAGTTCTAGGTATAAGATGAACAGTGGTGTCCAAACCACAGCCCTTGTGTGTTATGCTTTTCAGGGTATAACCTCTTTGTCTCAAGCGTATACTTAATGCAATACTTGTAGCTCTCTATGTTTAATGACCAGTTTCTATTCAGTCCCACTTGAAAAAAGAAAGGCTGATGGGGGTTTTAAAAGCGGAATCGGCTTTTCTATTAGTTATTCAGTAGAAAGAGTTCTAGTATGAGTCAGTAGCTCATATCCCTACAGATTTTCTATATATAAACGTGTAGAATGTATTCCATTGTATAGATCTGACATTACAACACTCACGTATTTCATTGCAAACAAACAACTAATTTATCAGGTTCAGCACTGATACATTCATACACACAAAAAATAATTATATATTTATAAATGATAAATGATCCCTAAGGGGTTCTTTGTATATTAATGAGTTCAAAGTGCATTGAGTGACTAGTCGTATTAGTAGAGTACTATTAAATTGGGTAATAGTAACAACCCCTGGATGTTGGCACTAACATCCCCAGGACGTACTTGAAATCCAGAGTAATCTGAATGTACCTTTCCTGGTTAAATACTTTGTTATTATTATTATTAATGTATGGGTGGAGTTGAGTTGGTTACATTTATTCAGCACCATGGACAAGGGACACCTTGGAAAAAACCCAAAGGCAGTCGGTAAATCATCAAGACCCTCACTATTATTAAACACAAGAATCTTCAGAATACAAAATTAAGTCCTGCGCTTAAACTCTCACTACTCCTGGGCAGCAGCAATGAATATAGTACACATCAGCCCAATACATACAATAAAAAAAAAAAAAAAGTTACTTGTGTTCTAACCCACTATGCACATTTAAAGGTTTTTAGTATCCCTCCAATGGCCATTAGGTGTAAGCTCCCCTGCTAGATGAGTCGTACACTAACAATTCACATTGCTTATCTCAGCTTTGGGTAAAAAAAAAGAAAAAAAGAAAATCTAATAAGAGAAAGAGGGGTATTTTTTTTAAACCTTCCATACTTATTAACCATTAGTAGGACTCACGTAAGAGGTTTGCCTTGATGTGCCACGTGAGCTTACACATAATGGCCATTGGAGTGATACTAAAAACCTTCAGTTATTGAAATGTGCATAGGGATTTGGGATAGTGCGCTAGTAACTTTTTTCTAAGGATCTTCATTATGTTGATAAGATGTCGGCAAAGATTTGTAGGCTATAGAAGATAAACAAGGAAAATTTAACATGTTCCCTCTTCCGACATGCATATTGCAGATAGGATGGCAATTTTTTCATGAACCTTAAAGCAGGTTAATAATAATGTGGCTAGATATAGCTGCAAATAATCAGTATATAAAACATTTCCATACTGCTGTTAGGTATTCAGAGATTAATTTGTGTTTGACATTTGTCATTAAGGAAATAAGAAAGCAAAGTATTGCTTAGTTTCCATTCAATAGTTATCACATTGATGTCCATATTTTTAAAGTTTAAAGGGGAACAGTTATCTCCTAGGATTTTTAGTATCATGTTTACTTACTGGTATGGGAAAAATAAAATTAAATGTATAAAGCCACACTTCATTATTGTGCCAGTTGGTGCCTTCTTTTTAGCTCAATGGCAATACAAACATTGATCATCATACCTGATAGTCAGCATAAAGCAAGGCATACAGACACGAAGAAAAGGAAACCATTTATATTTCTCCTGATTTGAATTGTGTGCCCTGGCTGTGCCTTGCTTGAACTGGATTATGATGTCAGTGGCTAAATCTTTATATACGTTTTAAAAGAAAACATAGCATCTCATGAAAACGGTTAACACAAGCAATAAGTGATCTTCAGTGTTTATTCAGTTGTGTAA